CTAGGAGTTGGGGGGCAGAGAGAGTGGGGAGAAGGAGGTTCATTCAGAGCTTGATGGTCCCTGATGTGGATTTGCCAGTGTCCGTGGCTGAGACCTAGGCTGTAAGTCAACAGAGTTTTTGGGTGCTTGGGCTGCTGGTGCCATAAGTGGCCTGTCCTTGTGTGGGTGGGGCACAGCATGCTGGACCATATACATTTGTTGTCAGGGCTCCTGTCCCTCCCACTGCTCCCCATTCCAAGAAGGTCACAGCTTTTAGGGATATTTGGTTATTTGGTTGGATTATTTATTCTCCTCATCCTGTCCTCTCTGGACAGGGGAGATAGTCATGTGATAGAAGTCATGTGATGTGGCCCTTGACTTGGCTGTGACCAGCTGCATCCCCCAACCATGCTGTCACCATCACTTCTCCCTTCCAGTGCCCACCCTCAGTTGCTTAGTCTTTGACCCCCAAACCAGCTGAGAGGTTGGGGCCTGCCATGTTCCCAGCCATGCCCCCCTTTAGGCTCAGCAGCTGCTTCTCAGAGGATCTAGATGGCAGCAGTCACAGACATTGTCTAGGGTTCTCAGTGTGAGGCTCATGCTTGCACCCTGAGACCCCACCAGAACAAGTCTCCATGCTCAGCCTTAGATCCCTGGTGTTCCTCTGAGGCCCTTCCCATAGCCTTAAATGCGAGGTGAGGTGGGCAGTAAGTCTTGTGGGGAATGGACTGACCCGGGAGAGGGGGCCCATTTGGAAGACTCAGTTCAGTGACCACATGCAGCCCTGTCTCCAGCCAGGAGCTGCGGCCTGGCTGGTTTGCAAAAAGGTGCTGACAGAGGCAAACAAAACTCCTTTTAAGAATAAACTGCCTTGCGTGAAGCTGCAGCCGGAGTGGGGAGAGGCAGGAAGCTCTGTGAGCACTGAGTAGGCCCTGGTGCAGGTGGCTTGGGCCTGCATGCAGCTCTGTTTGTCTGTGTCAGGGGGTGGGTACTTTACCCAGCTGTGCTTTCCAGAACATGACTCTCAAAGTGGGGCTTGGGGGTGTCTGCTTGGTGGAGGGATGGAGTCAGTGAGCTGGTGCAGGCCAGTCTGGCTGTCAGTACTCAGTACATGGTGCCATTGAAAACTAAAGGAAGTGCTTAGTGTCAGATTAGCCTGGAGCAAGAAAGAGGACCCAGGCTTTCACTGGGGTTGCAAAGCTAGTGAATGGGTCCCTGCAGTCTCACTTCATCCATAGCATGGCTGCTACAATGCCACACTTCTGCCTCTTTTAAGTCATATCTGCATGCCCCAGCCCACGGGTAACAAGTTTCTTTCCCTGGCCGCATCTCGCAGTCATGCTGATGTATTCCAGTTTAACGAGTGAGGAAGCAGTGGTCAACTGCAGAAGGATTTGTTCTGACCAAGACTTCCTGGAATTGGGGTGCAGCAGACACAGTGGACAAGTTCCCAGCCTATGGGCACTGGCTTGATACTCCCAGGTGCTGTCTGCTTCGACTGTCAAGTGACTCATGGCCTAGCTGTGAGCCCTCACGCTGCAGCCAGCTCTGAAGCCTGGCTCTTCCATGCTCAGTCACATTGCCCTATAGCTGTGTGCAAGGCACTGCCTGTCTTTAGAGGGGAGCCTGGCAGAAAGGTGGACAGCTAGAAATGTAATGGGGTGGTGGTCTGGGCAGGAGGAAAAGGGTGTGTTTGTGTGTGTGTGTGTGTGTGTGTGTGTGTGAGAGAGAGAGAGAGAGAGAGAGTGAGAGAGAGAGAGAGAGAGAGAGAGAGAGAGAGAGAGAGAGAGAGAGAGATCAGCCCATGGCAGATTTTCTGGTCAGGAGGCAAAGGGTGTGTGTGTGTGTGTGTGTGTGTGAGAGAGAGAGAGAGAGAGAGAGAGAGAGAGAGAGAGAGATAAAGAGAGAAAGAGACCAGCTCATGGCAGATTTTTCTGGTCAGGAGGAAAAGGATGTGTGTGTCTTTGTGTGTGTGTGGGTGTGGGTGTGTGAGAGAGAGAGAGAGAGAGAGAGAGAGAGAGAGAGAGAGAGAGAGCAGTCCATGGCAGATGTTCTGAGCTGGAAACCCACCTTGCAATTTAAAGTATTTGGAGTTTGCTTGGCAGGAGGTCCGGGGCTAGGAACTCTGCCCATCTTCCAATGCTGGGGAGACCCCTCTTAGAAAGGGCAGCTCTGCTTTGGAAGAACTTTGGGGATCCAGGTGTAGTAGATGGAGTACTGATAGATTTGCCCTGAACACGTCCCATCCTACTTGTCCTTGGTGTTCCAGTCCTATGGAAGATATGTATAAGAGACATACCACATCTTGCCTTCAGCATTCTGCACTGTTGGTCCCGCCTTTCTGTTCCTTCTTCAAATCTTTCCACCTGGGAGTCCTTCCTTCTTCCCTTTAATTTTAGTACCATGGGATTTTTCACAGATAGATACCAATCTGGTGGGCTGACCGGAAAGCCTCCTTCATAGAATCCCAGCACTGAAAGGAATTCCAGCATCTGCAGCTCCACACCCTCACTCGGTTACCTGTGTCAGAAAGGTCTCAGCAGACCTCCAACATGCTTGTGTATAGCTCTGCCTCTTCTACCTCTCAGCCTGGGCTCCCACAGTTATGGATAAGTGGAATCTGAGGTAGTCACATCCCTAAGGAGAAGGTTTCTGATAACAAGACTCCCTCATCAACTTCTGTCTTTTTAAAGAAATGTATTCAGAAACTATGGCTGCGAGGCATGTAACCTCTTTGCCTCAAGTTGAGGGAGCAGGGTATGTCCTCTAGCCTTGAGGGGATCATAGCCCTGTGAGAGTGATGGGTTAGTAGATGGAGAATTCAAATCATGCTGCAATGGAGAGTATCGGGTTGGGGTTAGGAAAAACTTCTTGGAGAAGGTGGACTCTGGGCTGAGCTTTGGCAGATAGATGGACATTTGCCTGGAAACAGGGGAGAAATAGATGTGAAAGCAATCTGTGGAAAGATCCAGAGATGTAGCCACTCTCTTGGACTTTGATATTTGTATGGTTTTGTGTGTGTGTGTGTGTGTGTGTGTGCGCGCGCGCGTGCGCATGCACACGCGCACATATGTAATAGAGAAGCTGAAGGGGAGAACTGGTTGGATCATCAAGGGGAGCGTGGTAAGACATTCGAAGTTTATCCACAAAGCCGTGGAGAGCTATTGAAAGGGGTTTTAAGCTGGGGTGTGCCATGATCAGATTTGTGTGTTAGGAAGATCACCCTGGCAGCCTGGTGGTGGATGAATTGTAGGGGCCAAAGCTGGAGACCAAGAGATCAGTCAGGATTTCTTGGGATTTTCTCTGTGGTTTTTCAAATCTGTCGAGGCTGACTGGGATGGCCCGGATAGGTGCCAGCTTAGAAAATAATCCTAAAGCTCTGGAGACGAGTGTGAGGTGGCTTCCTGCCTCAATTTAATTCCCCCTTCATTTGCCTTTTCCCAGGCTGCCACCTCTAGTGGTCTAAAGCACCTGCCCACGTGGCTTCCCCGGATGCTGCCCTGCCGGAGGCCTTAGAACCTGGGCAGCTTTGGCATCCAGTCAGAGAGGGTCAGGCTGTTGTGGGCCCCTTTGGATCTCTGCCCTTGCTGGCCCCAGACCACAGAGCCCAAACATTGTCTTTCCTCTCATACCCGCTGCCGTTGGGCCCACAGAGCAGCCATTGAGGAGAAGTGCAGCCTGGCGGGAATCCCGGGCACATTAGTTACAGGCAGTGGCTTAGTCACACTCCCTGGAGCCTTTCTTCCTGGGACAAGCCTGCCCTTGTCCTAAGGCCTTCCTCACCCAGCGGCCTGTCTTGAGCCAGCTGCAGGTGCCTCTGCCAACCACTGACAGTCAACTTCAGAGGGGCCACCAGTGAGAATTTATGCCCGGTATAGGCGCTCAGTCCTGGGAATGGGAGTGCCTGGAATGTTTGCTCTGAGAACACTTTGCTCTGGGTTCTTCACATCATGTGTCCAGTCTCTCCCCGCAGGACACAGCCCAGGTGCTGTCTGACTCTTTTGACTCCTGCCTGCATATTCTGGAAGCTGGGAGGGCAGAGTGCCAGCCCATTTTCCCTCTCCCCTGTTTTCTCCTCTATCAAAGCTTATGAGGCTGCAGAAGCAGTATCTGTACCATGGGTAGCATGTCAGTGCATGCTCAGGAGGCAGCAGAGTGCATGCGCATGTTAAGCTGCATACGGTACCCTGGTCTGGGTGCTCATGTACCTGGTGATGTCTTACCGCTGGCTGGGCCACATTCAGAATATGGAATGCAGATGGTTCCAATCATGGCTCCTCTGTTTTCCTGCCGTGTGACTCTGGGAAGGACTTTGCCTCCTCTTGCTGCTATTGCATCATCAGTGAAATGGGGGTATTTTACTGGATTGGAATGAGGATTTTGGGAGAAGGATGTAAGATTTTTTTTTTACCGAGACATCATTTGTAATAGCACTCATAATGTTTTTAAACTGAAAAATTTGTTATTTGGTTTAAATGATGTGGTCTCAACAACATTAACATTTTTGATGCTGATGTACAAAAATTATTGCACCTCACCACCAAAGTGCCAGGGACACCAGACCCTGACTAGTGCTCCTCAGAGCATTAAGTGAGGAAATGCACACAAGTTTAGCCAAGTGCCAGCACAGAGTCAGGGTTCCATATGCAGTTGCTTATTCCTCTTGGCATGCTTACGATCAGGACTGGATCTTTCCCACTGCTGAAAATGGGGGTGTTCCCAGTTTATAAATGAGGGAGCCAAGACCCCACCAGGCTAAGTAATGCACCCAGTGCCACACAGCTGGCCAGTGGCAGGGCAGGGACTTGAACCTGGCTCTCTCCAGGCTCCTGCTGCACATTTGTTGCCCCTCGGTGGTACAGACCAGGAGGTCAGCACATCTGACCCTGGAACAGAGGGAGTGGCGCCTGTTTTGTTGCCTCTAAGCATTCTTTCTTTGTTCTTCCAGATCCCTGAGCCAGGAGACTGTCTTCAGTTGAGTCAGAGATGACGAAATTCATTGACACGGGTAGAAGCTGTAACTGCTGGGTCCCGGTCTCAGAGATAAGTGATGGTGCCATTTGAGCACCAGCTGGAAACGGGCCAGGACCAGAAACTCTTGGAGCACACTGGCCGTATCAGGAACCAGGATGTGGGGATGACGCCTCTGGAGGCCTGGGCCTCCCTCCCGCCTGGGTGCTAGGAGCCGTTCCCAGGCTCCAGCCAGGAGCCCTGCCACCAAGGGGTATGGCCAAACCTTTCTTCCGACTCCAGAAGTTTCTCCGCCGCACCCAGTTTCTGCTCTTCTTCCTCACGGCTGCCTACTTGATGACAGGCAGCCTGCTGCTGCTGCAGCGGGCCCGAGTGGCCCTCCCACAGGGCCCACGGGCACCTGGCCCCCTGCCTGCCTTACCTGTGGCCGCCATGGCGCTGGGCGTGGGCCTCCTGGACAGCAGAGCCCTGCATGACTCCCGTGTCAGTCCGGAGCTGCTGCTTGGTGTGGATGTGCTGCGAAACCCCCTGGCCCGGCCCCGACCTGGACCTCGCTGGCTCAGGAGCCGCAACTCAGAGCTGCGCCAGCTGCGACGCCGCTGGTTCCACCACTTTATTGGTGATTCCCAGGGTCCACCAGCCCTGGGCCCTGAGGCCCCTCGGCCAGCTGCCAGCAGCCGAGGTAGGTGCTTTTGACCTGGAGTACCACAGTGTGAGCCCCAAAGATGCATCATGACTGTGTTGGTTGGTGATTAGGCCCAGCTATAGTGTCTCTGCATCCTGGTCACCACCCTTGTTGGCCCTGTGTTTTACCATAGTTGCAGGGGAACTGCTCTCTAAGGGTTAAACTGGGGAGACTAGTGACAGGTGTGGTTGGAGCGCAGCACTCTGACAGAGAAAGCGCTAAGGTAACAGGTAATCTTGGCCCTGAGTTAGGAGCAATACGGATGCTGGTCTAGGCATTCTGCGTTGTTCTGAGGATGATACAAAGGGTCCAGGGAACCCAGCAGCATTTTTCAGCAGAGGACCACATGGTCCAGGACAGTGCAGGTCAGCCACAGTTGAAAAATCACATAAATGGGGGAGTAATGGAGGAGACTAGAGGTTCCCAGAGGGCAGGTGGTCTGCAGAAAGGAAATAAGGTCAGAAGGGAACCAAGGTGGGGAAATGGCTGAAACGCATGGCCTTAGATTCTACTTGTGGTCCAGTAGAATCAAGTTTGGAGGGCAATGCAAGAGTTTCTTGTTTGCAGGGAAGAAAGTTTCTTCTGAAGCCATAAAGCTCAAAGCTCTCACTGTGCAGTTCCTCAGTGAAGCTTCCATGTGAAAAGAAAAGGCCCCCTGTTGTTCATCAATTTGCTCGAGCGGGCCCAGTAACGTCTCCATTGGAGATTTTGTTGTTACTGTGTCTGGCATATCGAATACATCACGGGTGGCTTGCCAGGCTCTGCCGTGTGGGCGAGATACTCTCGGTAGCTTGCCGGGCTCTCCCAGAGGGGCGGAGGAATCGAACTCGGGTCGGCCATGTTGGCTGCGTGCAAGGCAAATGCCCTACCGCTGTGCTATCAGGGGGGAATATAGGGAACCGATTCTACAGCTCCTTGCACGCAGGTATGGTTTCCGTACATCTTCCCCAAAACACTGACAGACTAAATCTCTATGCAGATCCCATACCAGGGCAGCTTGCTTGGGCTAAAGTGTAAATGACTTATCTAAATTAGATGTGGTTTCCTAAAAGAAAGACATGAAAAGAGCTCAGAGTTTTCAAATAAACAGAACTTCCTCTTATTGGCTCTGTGGCCTTGGGGAAATGAGATGACTTCTCTCTCTGTCTCTCTCATCCCAGTTACTGAGAGTCCATGTGAGCAACTCACCATATACTTGATGTGCTTGGTCTAGTGGTAAAATGATAGAGGCACTCAGAGGATCTCTGGCCAGAACAAGTGGGCACTCCCGGCATGTGCAAAGGGCTGTGGACTCATAAGGGTGATGAAGCTGTAGCCCACAGAGTAGAGTAGGTATGTCCCAAAGAAAGAGTTGGTACCCTTTCCTTATCTCATCTCAAGACTTGTGGATGTGTGAGAGGGTTGTCATGCCAGCTGGTGAGACTGACAGGGCTGCTGGACGCCAGGATCAGTGTGAGGACCCTAGTCTTATGGGGTGTCCTCAGCACTTCGATTGCATGCCCTGCAACACCCCCAAACTTCCATTTCCAACAGGTGAAGAGTATATGGTCAGGATGCTAGAAGCATGAGGACCTGATGTTGTTGAGTGTGGGGTACTGTCTGGTCAGGAGCCCTGTTGGTTATTAATATTTCCTGTTAGACCTCCCCTCAAGAGAGGGGAGAATGTTTGCTCTGGCAGAGGATGTGGGGTCATGTGGCTGAAGATGTCTTGAAAACGGGGGAGACAGGAAACTGGTCTGGGACCCTCTGGACATTCTGGGTTACCCGTTCCTGAGTCCCGATGGCTGGGCAGGGCTCACCGTGGAAAGGAGCCCAGGGACTGGCCTTCGGAACAGCTGCCGGGGCTCAGACAAAGACAGCGTCTCTTTGAGGCCCCGGGCAGCCCGCCATTCTCCTGAAAGGGGATCCTGCAAGCCACGGAAGCTGCAGGAGATGCCATCAATCACCCGGCATTTCATTATACCTTGGACAACATCCATAATGGAATAAAATGTCAGTGAGTTTACTAGGGGAAAAATAGTAACTTCTCCATAGCCAGTTTGTTTTTTATTGATAGTAATTTCCAAAGACATTCCAATATCTCCAAAGCCATCGTTAATAGCCTCACGGCATGTCCATTTTGATGTGCAAATGAACAGATGCGGAGTCACAGACAATAATGCATTGCCTCCATTTCAGCCCAAAGTAATAAATCCGCCTCAGAGCATGTCCCACTGTATCCCTCAGAAGTTCTTTCTTTTCCGCACATACTTGCCTCTGTCAGGGAGTTAGAAAAGCCATTTTTTTTCACTTTTGGGTTGTTGGGTTTTTCTTGGTGGGGTCGGGGGTGTCAGAAAATAAGGAAAATAAATACTTCTCTCAAAGGACTTTACTAGCCTAAAGGAGCTGAGACAATGGGCCAGCCCGCCAAGGAATGACCTTTCACCTTACCTGGTAACTTTTAGCTTCCAAAGAACCCGGACCAAGCTGCTCAAAACCATTTCTTTCCCTCTGGTATTGATGTGTTGATTATTCAGCTAGTATTTCTGATCCATCATCACACTGCGTCCCAGGTTAGAGTTGAGGATTAGAATAATAATTGTTGTTGCTTTTTCAAGCATCTGTTATGTGTCGAGCTTCATTTCATACAGATGTACATCTGCTATCTCATTTCATCTTCAAATTGTGTTATGCTATAAGGCGTGTGATCACCACTTTAATGATGAAATATTTGAGTTTTAGAGAATTAAAGCCATTTAAAAATGTTTGTTATTGATGGGCTGGAGCGATGTGTTCCTCAACACTGAATATTCACCCCATTCTCTCATGGAATTCTCTTATCATACCCCCTAAATTGTGTAGGTTATCTATCCATTTCATAGAGGGGAAATCTGAGACTTACAGAGGGAAGCTGCATTGCTGGCCACACTCCTCTGATGGTGCTCCCAGTCACTATCATCACCCCACCACCCACCCCCACCAGAGCTCACCAGAAATATGTACCTGTCAGGCCCAGCCTTCCAGGGTCTAGAGGCCAGACAACTTCTGAACCTTTTGGTTAATTTCCTAGCAATAATGATAAATGTTTAACAATCCCTGAGCTTGTGTTTTGGGATTTAATTGGAAGCTGTAATAGAATTTCTTCTTTGCAAGATGTCAGAAATTTCTGAAATACTGTTTTTCTTTTGTTAAGTGGGCAGGTTGACCGGGATGGTGAATGCTGTGGCTCTCCAGGTCTCAGCTGTCCCTGGGAAGATGGAGGGGTGAAGGTGAAGGTGGAGGTGGGGGTGGGGGAGGTTCTTCAGGGGAAGGAAGGGGAGAGACAGGCTTGCAAAAGCTGCTGTCTGGGCAGGAGTCCTCAGTGGAAAAATGTTCCCCTGTATCTCAAGGGTTGTCTGTTAATGAGGGTCCCCAGAGAGAGGTGACCTTGAGAAGGTCATTGCCTGGAAGACTCTTAGGTAATCACAACTTGCTCTGGGCCCAGTGATCTCTAGTCTGGGATTGCGGGGTCTTTTGCCACTTTTGGGCATGCGAAAGAGCCCAGCCTCTCCATTCTGACTGCATCCTCTGCTTCCCTTTCTCAAACACAGGTGCTGGGAGTTGCATATTGGTGTAGCCACAGGGATACCCTATCCCTTTAATTGGGATTTTTCCTCCTCCTCTGTCTATCAGGACAGTTTTAGAGCTGCACTCCACAATAGGCCAGTAGAGGTTCATATTAACATTGGTGAGTTTCAGCAGTGTGGGGTGGGGTGGGGGAACTGTGGAGTCACAGCTTGGGGAATATATGACCCCTGCATTGGTGATTCTTAAATCACCATTTAAATTATTAAATAAATAAAACCACTTAAATTCTTAAATCTTAAAGCAGAGACAGGACTCACAGCTAGAAAGATTGTTCGCACTGCTAATGACATGGATTGGGGTGATGACAAGCTTTTCAGATACAAAATAGAAGATTTCAGAAAAAGACCAGAACGCTGGAGTGCTGATCGTTGTGAGTTTACCAGTACAGTTAGGAGGGTGAGGCACGGGCACACACTTGGGGCTGGAGAAACAAGGTAGATGGGGTGGGTTACTTAGCCATTTAGTAGTTGCAGAAACTTTAGTCTGTGGATGTTGAAATGATTTGTCCAGGTTAGACTAGGATGTTATATTTCACCATAAAACCATATGTGAGTCAGCAGGTTGTTGGGATGCCTTTCTTCCCAGGGCCCCCGATATGTCTGGAGACTGTGGCACTTTGCCCAGGTGCCATTTCAGACCCCAGGAGTCAAACACAGGTGCTTTCAGGAGTGTGTGACCTCTTTTCCAGGGGCCCAATGCAGATGCAACAAAGCTATGGTGCATGGTCCTCTTTGGCCCTGGGCCTCTCTGTGTGGGCCAGGTAAGGTTGAGATCATCTTGGCCAAGTATGACAGAGACCCTGCCTTCCCACTTGGGCCTCTGGAGACAGTGTTTACAAACACCACCCCCTCACACCACGCAGCTGCTCTAAAACTTTGTGTGGGAGGGGAGGGGAGTCATTGACTCTCCTTGTACAGTTGCAGGATTCTCCTGGATTCTCCATGCCTCTTTGGGGGATCCCTGTATCCCTTTGGGTGACAGAGCAGGCTTCTCAGTCTCCCTACAGGGTATGAATTGGGTGGGTCATCAGGGTCACTCTCATGTCCTCCTGTTCCCCTTCTAGGCATGTGCCAGAGATGCCTGGGCTGGGAAGGGCCTCACAGCCCTCGCTGCCAGACTCCAGAAAGGGCAGAATCTGCACCCCCAGCAGCAGGGGTGTACCCCCTCTGGGGAGAACAGTTTTCCCTAGAACTAGTTCTTACTGTTTGCAACATTTTTCTCTACAGTAGCCCAAATCAGACTTTTTTGAGGAAATAGGGGAGCTTGAGCCACACCTTGTGGTGCTCAAGGCTTACTCCTGGATATGCTCTCAGGGATCACTCCTGGTGGGCTCAGAGAACCATATGGGATGTCGGGGATCTAACCCAGATTGGTTGTACAAGGCAAGCACTCTACCTGCTGTACTATCACTCCGGTCCCCAGATATTTTATAATTGATTTTCTCCCCTCTGGATCATGAAGAGGTGATGTCCAATCAGGACATCTGGAGGTATGGAGCTGTCCGAGGAGTGGGGATAAGGGAAAGAAGGAGCTTGTGGGGAACCTGTTACATCACAGCAAGTCTTGGGTTGGTGGGAGAGGTGTCATCAGGCTGACTGCAGGCTCCTGGGTGGACACTGGACCATTGACTTAGAAAACTGCAGGGACGGAACAAGATGGAAGTGCCAAGACGTACTGCGGGCAGGTTGGATGACAGTTACACCCTGGTCTCTGAGAGGTGCCTTGGTCAGGTAAGACTGAGACCACAGGCCAGGGAGGGCTGGAGTCACCTTGCCATTTCCTTGAATGTGCTCAGCATCGGTCCCTTCCTTCCTTCCTGTCTGTCCCTCTGAGTGTCTGTGCTTCCCACCCTGCAGGCACCTATGTTGGATGTTTCAGTGATGATGGCCAGGAGAGAACCCTGAAGGGGGTTGTGTTTTATGACCTGAGGAAAATGACCATCTCTCACTGCCAGGATGCCTGTGCTGAGCGGTAAGTTTTGATTCCCCTGGAATCAGGCTGGGAGACAATCTCAGGACCAGGGGAGGCCTCCCTGTCTTGTACCTGGCCTTGGGCAGCTGATGGCCATTGGTCAGATGCCTCTTGTCCAGAAGAGTTTAATGATGAGATGGCACGGGGGTGGGGAAGGAACCCCAGGCCTAGATCAGGAGCTGCAGTCCTGTAACTTCAGTCAGTTTCTTTCCTGGCCTCCAAAGTACACTCAGAGATTTAAAATACAAGTCTTTGAGCTGGATTTCTCTGAGGGTCCTATTCTAGCTCTATTGGGGAATGTTTCTAGTTTGGCTTTGTCACCAAATTGCCAGCCCACCTAGTGGTCACCTGCACTTGTCACGTGCTGGAGCTAGTCCTGCTGCCTGGCCACTCAGTTGGCCAGTGAGTGTGGGGGGGAGGCAGCTGGCATGAGGTCAGCACTTGCTTCTTTAGAGCCTGGTGGCCTTTGACCCCATGTGGAGTCTCATAACTGAAGGCGGGGGTCCTGACAGATTTGGCAGCAGTAAAATGTTTCTGATCATATGATAGCCACAAATCAATTCAACCACAAATTCAGCAGTACAGTGAACCAGGGGTGTTTCTGCCAGCATCTGCTGGATCACAGCTCTCCATCAAAAAGGGCTCGTGAACAAAGTTGAACAAAGCCCTGTTTTGGACTTATTCACCTTGAGTTCACTCTCAATTGTGCCATATAAATCCTCACCACCTTCTGCATAGCAGCGACTAAGTGGCCTTGTTTCACAGTTGGGGACACCAGCCCTGTAGGAAGAAAAGTCCAGGGTCCCTGTTCAGGTGGCTTCCCAGTCTCATAAACTTGAAGCTGAGACTGACCTGGCCTCATTTCCTTCTAACACTCAGGAAACTGTGACTCAGAGGCAGTGGGGGTTCAGGCTCACACGGCGACTAAGTATCCAGTCTGGGTTTTTACCTGTGGCCCCATGGAGATGGTACTTTGAGAGCCATGGCTCCCTCTGTAGTTAAAACCTGGAGTGATGGCTGTGGAGGGGGCTCAGAGCTCCCGTTAGCTGCAGGAGCAGCAGCACAGCAGGGGTCAGAGCCAAAGGGCATTGAGTCCATCAGAGCTGTTGGTGCGGGTGGGGCCCAGCGGACTGAGTGTGGGAGCTGGGCTGTTACTCCAAAGGGAAAACTTAGAGAAGCCTGTCACTAAAAAATCAGGTGTTTGGAGCTGTCTGTGATGAGCATGTTGACAACTGTAAAAACTGACAGCTGGTGTAGGCTAGGTCTCCCCATGCTGAGAACCAGCACACCACTGCTTCATGCCCATCGTCACTATATTTTTCCCAATATTTGTTTTGGGGCCATGCCCGGCTGTGCTCGGGGCTTCTTCCTGGCTCTGCTCTGGGATCACTCCTGGCAATGCTTAGGGAACTATAGGTGGTGCTGGGGATGAAGCCTAAGTCCTCCGTGTGCAAGGTAAGCACTTTACCTGTTGTAAAGTCTCTGGCCTCTATCTTCACTCCTTACCAGGCTACATTAGAACTAACCCAAGGCAACAACGGTAAGACTGTTCCTAAGACGCACCAGATAGCCCTCAAGTTTGGCCTGATCCTTCCCATCAACCTTAGGCCTAAGGTGCAATAATTATGGCAGCAATAATTGTCTTCTCAACCATATTTGACCAGCTTCAATCCTGACCCTTGTCCTGGGTCCAGGACCTCCTGCTGTTCTCTAATGGAGACCTCAGTGCTATTAGGACCCCAGCCCTAGCTCTGAGCTGAGATCAGGACTCAGGCCAGCCCGCACTGTCCCTGCAGGTCCTATGTCTATGCTGGCTTGGAGGCTGGTGCTGAGTGCTACTGTGGGAACCGACTCCCCGTGCTGAGTGTCGGGCCGCAGGAATGCAACCACGAATGCAAAGGGGAGAAGGGCTTTGTGTGCGGTGGAGCTGGTCGGCTCTCCGTGTACCGTGTGGAAGAGCAGCAGCCAGGCCCCAGGAAGAGTAAGTATCCCAGCCTCACCCTGAACTCTAACCACCCACTCCTCTCCTATCCCTCCGACCCCTGCCCTTCGTCCAAACTACATGGAGTAGGACCTGGGCCTCTCCCTCCCAGTTGCCTTTATTCTACAAATACAAGACTAGGAGATTGAGCTGAGGGTTTGGGCAAGAGATTGGGTAAGTGGTTTGAATTCCCGACTATAACACGCCTTTCCTAACCTGTGCAGAAGAGAGAACTTGATCAGAAGGCATGAGGCTTCAGGCAGATCTCTGACACGCTCTGTGGACTCAGGCAGTTTGAAGCCCTTCTCTGCTCCAGTATATTTTATGGGGTGTAAAGACAGTCCTAGCAGTGGGCAGACCAAATCCTCTGAAAGCTTTCTAGAGATAAAATTAGCACTGCTGATAAACCAAACCCAAGCTATTTGTTTGTTCAGCATAGGCTGAACTAACAAGCTGGTAATGATGCAGGAGTGATAAAGGTGGGTCTCTGTGTTGGTCCGTGGTTTCCAGGTTCTTAAATATTTTCAAGAATAAAAATTCTGAGTGATGAAAATGCTCGGGGCTGGAGCAATAGCACAGTGGTAGGGCATTTGCCTTGCACACAGCCAACATGGCCGACCCCAGTTCGATTCCTCCGCCCCTCTCGGAGAGCCCGGCAAGCTACCGAGAAGATCTCGCCCGCACGGCGAGCCTGGCAAGCTCCCCGTGACGTATTCGATATGCCAGACACAGTAACAACAAAGTCTCCAATGGAGACGTTACTGGGCCTGCTCGAGCAAAACAATGAACGATGGGAGGACAGTGATTGACAGTGACAGTGATTGATGAAAATGCTCAGACTCAGAGTAGAAATATTATTGGAAAATAGGAGAGAAAAATCTCCTCAAGGAGAGGAACTTAGTATAGGATTAAGTTAACTTGGGCTTGGTTTGGGGGCATTCATAGGAAAACTGGGTCTTTGTTGTTATTGGAATGAGAAGGAAAAGTTTACAGTTTTTCTTTTAAATGAAAATTGAGCTCTTTACACTTCTTATGTCTGGCCATTTGCCTAAAGTATTGCCCATTATTTTAGTATCTCAGTGAGACTAAGCTTTGGGGGAGAATTTTATGGTTTGGGGGGCATTGTTAATTTTTATGTTATCAGAAAGAAACAGGGCTGGAGCAGTAGCACAGGGGCTAAGGCATTTGTCTTGCATGCAGCCCGGCAAGCTACCGAGAGTATCTCGCCCGCACAGCAAGCCTGGCAAGCATCTCGTGATATATTCGATATTCCAAAAACAGTAACAACAAGTCTCACAATTTGTTGTGAGACGTTACTGGTGCCCACTTGAGCAAATTGATGAACAACAGGAGGACAGTGCTACAGTGCTACAGAAAGAAACTGGGAATTTTCAGGAACATTAAAAAAGTGGGATGGGGCCAGTCAAAAATAGGACTCCTCACAACAACTGACAAGGGGTAACTGAGGCTTTCTTTTTCAGCAAGGAAAACCCAGACTCCAGAAAGGGAGGAGGAGCTGAAGATCATGGGGTGTGTGGGGTCCTAGGTGCCCGAAGAGTATAGTTGCTGGGCCTGGTGACCCTCAGAATTGGGTCCAAGTAGAACAATAAGGGGAGTTTGGAGCCCAACAGGAAAGATAATTGCATTGAAACCTCTGAGCATAAAGTGACATTCAACTTCACAGAAGTATAAATCACTGGCACTTTAGATGTTTAAAAGAAATAGCACTTCCAAGACAGGGAGATAGGACTAAACCATGTCCAATTAGACCTGAACTTGGAGTGGAAAGAGAAAAAAAGCCTTCCTAGGATGTTTCACCTAAGAATTATAGTTGCAGTCCTGCATTAGTGTGAGTTGTGGTTCAAATTTATGCTGTCCCCCTGGTCCTGAAAGCTCCACCATAAAAATTGGCCCTAGGCCACCTGGAGTTCCTGGCATAAGCAAACGCAACTCTCTTGAGGGCATTGCCATCAGCCCAGGTGGAGAGTTCCCATAAATAGATTCCCATTGAGGACGAGCTTACAGTTCAAAACTATAGCACTTGGGAGGAAATCATCCCCGGGGAGTGTGGAGTCAAGTTAATGCATCAAAGAGCAAGATTGACCCCCAGGATTCCAACTGAAAGTTGAAAGTACAACTTTGGGAGCCTAGGAGTATTTTTGCAAAACTCAGGTTTGTTTTGATGAGGTCCAAATCCACTGAACCCGACTCTAAAAGTGTCCTTTATAGAATGTAATTGCACACACCCACACATGTAGAAGTTGTTCTTTTCTTGATTGGGAGGAGCTGAGAAGAAGCATAGCGAAGGAACCTCAACTACCACCACTAACAAATGCAAATCAGCCCAGCTTCCAGGCTCATGGATTGATGCGCATGCCTGCCTCTGGCACGGTCCAAATAACTGTGCTCAGAGAAAAGTCAGAAGATAAGACCACAAAGAGGTGCTTGGGGAATTACTTCTAACAAAGAATAAGTTTGCTGAGCATATGAAAACTAAGTTCTAAGAACATGGCCTTCAAGGCCAACCCTCACATCCAATATAGGGACAGAATGACAGGAAGAGGGACCCAGGCCCACAGCCAGCCAGCTGGGACTGCTTACACACTTCTTATGCTCAGGATGTGTGTGGGTACTGAGAGCATAGTTGGGGGGAAGGGATATAGCCTCTGACAACACACTGGTTAGCTTATGGATTCACTGAAACTGTTTCCTCCACAAGTTCTCATTGCACCTCCAGGCCTGGAACAGGTTTGTGTCGGGCCTGTGACGGGCCTGGGCCGCCATCTGGGTTGCCATCTGGGCCTCCTGAGGACCGGAGTGTTCCATGCTGGCTTTTTGGACCTTGGATTTCTCTGGGCTCAGTCGACATCAGCATACCTGACTTCTTACTCCTAAAGCCCCAGGCCTATGTGTATACTCTGGGCCTCCCTGCCAGCTCCTCCTATCTGTTCCACCCAACTCATACAGGCCATTGTTTTGCTTCAGATGTCCCATGGATTAGGGGACAGACAGTTCAGTCATCCATGCCAGACTCAGAGCTGCAGGTAGCTGGGGTCAGTTTCATGGTAAGAAACTAGTACAATTGCTGTCCCTTTGGGCATACTGGGGTACCCCGTGCACTGACCTTTGCCTGCTGCTCCTTCCCAAGGGGTTGAGCTGACATGCTTGACAGGCTCTGTGTCCAGCATGGCCAGGTCACCTCGTATCTTAATGCCTTGCTTCTCACTGCGGGAGGACTGACAGGGAACAAGACCGATGGTCAGCCCTCCACCTCCATACCAGGATCAGCAGCAGGGCCAGAGAGTTCTAGGAGGGATCCTCCTCCCTTCAGAGCCCCCAGGGCTTTCCTCTGGGGAGCAAGGGAGACACTTGTGAGCAGCTAGAACCACAGGAGAGTCACATGGGCGCCATCACCTCCAGTTGACGCTGCCTCTGCAGGGAGTTACCTGTGGCTTATGTGCCCTCATGTGCAGGCCATTCATTCACTCAGCACTTACTGGGTACCTGCTGTATGTCAGTGCCAAGGATGGTGCAGGGAGCACACGTGGACTTAAATGCAGCACTCCCAGAAGCTGCTTTGTAGTTCCTACGGCTGGAACAGGCAGGACACTAGTCACTCGACCTTCCACCCCCAACCCCCAGCTGCCAGTCTGTCTGGCTCACCCTCCCTTCCCCTGAGTCCCAGAGACTATCTCCCTGCACTCAGCTGTACCCTAGCACAGTTTGAGGATCACAGCCCCATCCCTGTAGGTATTTTGTATAATGAGGGCCTGGTAATGCCACAAGACAAGAAGGAGTTCAGGGAGCCCCACTCATGCCATCGCCGAGGGTCCCTACACCACAAGTCAGGGTTGGGGGTGGTCATAGGGAGTGCAGCCCCACAAGGAGCTGGATTGAGGGTGTGTCCTGATCTTCTTGGAGCAGGGTATTCAGCAGGAGGAGAAATGGAAGATGTCCATGTCCACTACATGCCGAACAAGACACCAGACATGCTGATGCCAGCGGTGCCAGGTCCCCGAGCATTGTCTCTTGCCTCACATCTGCTGCTTTCCTTTCTCTGCCCAGAGAGGTGTATGCCCTGATGTCAGACCATGGGTGCCGAGGTCACTCGGGAGGGGCTTCCAGACCCAGGTTTGGGCCTGTTCTTTTTAACTTTTAATGAATAAGTGACCCCAGCTGCCATGACTCTGGCCAGTGTGAGGTTTCTGCTACTGGCCAGTAAGACGTATGGCAGGCAGAGATGCTGGGAGAGACTGAGCTTCAGGGAACATAGACTGAGTATCAGGATTCCATCTAGAGAAATCCATCTAGTGAGTCTGGGAGGAAAACTAGCAGTTGTAGCTGGAACATTCCAGAAGGTTTTTTCAGCTCCAAGGAAGCTAAGTAGGGAGCTGGACTTTTCCACCAGAAGGTCTGGAGGAAACTTGGCAGGCAACTCCCTTAGAAACATGGGCTTGAGGAACATTCCTAGAATATGGGTAGGAATTTAAGATCGAGAGAAAGCAAAGCAGCAGAGAAACTCATAGGGAGAGAGAATGTGGCAGGGTTTCATGTTTCTCTTAATGCCCATGCTAGGAGGACATAGAATTGGCCAGAGTATCAGCCTCTTAGAATCACCTAGTGTTAAAGAATCTGGCACAATCACAACCATCCAGTTTTGTTGAATAAAAGACGTACAGGTAGATGGACATTATCCCCACAGAGCACACGGAGAATTGGAGACCTAAAGTCAACTGTTTGAACTAAGTTGACCGAGATCCTGGATTACCAAGGTGTGGGACTGGCTTTCCCTTGGGAGCTTAGTGTGAACTCAGCCCCTCCAGATCAATTCACCCTCTGGTTGAAACCAGCCCCTCCTGCATATATTTGCCCCTGTATCATAATCTACAGCCACTATCCCCCCTCTCCCCCATGACCAACACCCACCACCAAGGGCATCATTTCTAAGAAATCTGTTTCCTTCCCCTCAGGGAGGAGCTTCACATATCGTGGCTGCTTCCGAGTGCCAGAGAACACCACGCACACCTTCCCTGACTCTCTGGTCCAGGCCAACATCACTGTGGAGACATGTTCCGGGTTTTGCTCCCATAAGGTAAGATGCGCTCTCATCTCTCAATGCAGTGTGTGTGGTGGCCTCCAGGGAAGGAGGGCCACCCAAGTGCATGCTGGGAGTGGGGTGGGACTGAGAGGGCAGGCAGGCAGCAGGGCATGATGGCACAGATATCACCAAGGGTGCCAGAAGGGAGCCCGTTGCTAAGGCCAGTGATCCAATACGGGGTGGGAAATTGTCAGTGATGGTTGTAAAGCTGAAAGGATCGTGCCTTTCCCCATATGAGCTGTTGGCACAAGTGTCAGATGTTAAATTGACTTGGTTTGAAAGCAGAAATATGCTGGCTCGGGACATGGGGAGAACTGATGAATTTCCTGTGATTTGCACTGATGGTGTTGGGCCATGAATCTGATGTCAGCAGGGACGGTCATTATTGTTGATTCAACCTGGGTCGGGAGTGGACTGTCACTGTATCAGGGTAGAGCTGGGCCCCCATGGCCACTGTCATGTGACGTGTGTTAGATGTGGGGTGGAAGAAAGTGGCGAAGCCCCAGATGGGCTTACAAAAGTCAGGCACAGGGAGGAGGGGAAGAAGGAGAGCCAGCTGGCCATTCAACAGACACTGAGATCTTGGGCTGGAATCCAGTGCTCTCCAGATTGGGCCAGACACTGTGGCTTTAGAAATGGCTTTAGGTGGCAGTAGGCTGGGGTCCTGTGATGTCCCATACATGCTGAGGTTCAGTAGCCAGGATCGGGCTGTGAGACCTAAAGTGAGGATGAGTTTGGCTGTCAGAATTTATACACTCTTATTCATGTATTCTATACCAGTGCTGGCCACTATGCTCAGCACTTTGCGTGTATTCACACCTTAATCCACATAATAACCCTCCAGCATAGGTGCTGCTGTTTGCATTTTGCAGGTGAGAAACTGAAACTGAGAGAACCTCAATAATCTGCCCCTGGGGGTGGCTTCAGCATTTGCTGATACAGCACCCTTATTCATCCCACAGCAGTAAGTGGGGAGCCAGGAGTCCAACTGGGTCTAACGCCATTAACGGATGGTGGTTAGAAGGGCACAGGAGAGATATGCTTTGGTGAAAGTGCCCATGGGAGGGCATAGAGGACCCCACCCTCCTCTGGTCTACCATGTCCCCCACTTACCCTGGGAGCTGCCCCTCCTCTTTCTGATGAGGATTTTGGGTGGGGAGTGACAACCAGATTCACATGCAACCTTTGAAGCATGTCTCTTGCTTGCCCAGCATTTCTGAAGTCACTGCCAAGGGCATCTGAAGTGTCAGGGCTCACACGAGACACAGTGCAGAAATGAAAGGCTGTTTGTCAAGCTCAGATACTGGAGCTGGAAGTCCTGCCCCTCCCTCGCCTCATCTGGAGCAGAGCTGAGGGTAGAGACTGTGGGACCCCACCAGCTGCTGGTTTCGCTGGTGTGTGCCAGAAAACCAGTCACTCTGGGGGCTTCCTGCCCCCATAGTTCAGAGAAGTTCCCTGGAGAAACCTATCAGGGGTGAGAGGAACTGGGTTGACCGGGTGCAGACTGTAGCCCAGCCGCCTCCTCCTACATGCTGAGTGCCCTGCAGGGGTTTCCTGGCCATTTGTGCTTCCACCCTTGCTGTTCTGCCCAGCCATGGGAGGGGCTCTCCTCCCTGTACCTTGCAAGAAAGAGCCAGCAGGTCTGCAGAGCTGAGGTCCCTGGCAGGTGGAGAGAAACTGGCAGCACCCAGACTACACACCCTGCCCGTGCTTTTCCTACTGCAGTTTGGTGTGACTTGGGTACAATTTGGTGTCCCCAGTTAGGGAGAAGAGAGTGACAAGGCAGATGAGAAGAAGCAGGAGCAGAGAGCATCGCAGCATACAGCCATGTCCCTTATTGTTGTTTAGGGATCTAAAGTAGGTAATCAGCATACAGGAGCACAGACAGAAGACCCAGACGGGTGCACGAGGGAGTTTCCCTCCCCACTGTCTCTTCTTTCAGCTCCCCACCACCCTGCCTGTGCTCTCTGCCCTGACAGTCTTTCTGAGCATATTGCTGGACAGGCCACAGAAAGTGCTTTCCATTCCCTTAATCCTTACCTTGTCATTTATTTAACCAGTCACTTGCCAGCAAGCATTTAGGTTGTTCCTAGTCTCTTGCTTTTACAGACACCACAACAGATGACCATCTTTGCAGGGCCATCAATTGGGGATGATGAGATTCTGCAGCTAAAATCTCTTGACTTTACCCTACTGTATACCTTTGTCATCATGGTCAACTTGGCAGTGGGGATATTAATCACCCCCACTAGCAATATGAAAGGAACATGGGCTGGTGACTCTTCTTTATCATGGGCAGGGAGTGGGGGGGAGGTGGGCACTCCTGGAAGTTTCTGGTAGATGTCTTCATGTTCTAGGACACCTCTTCCTGGGAAATCTATATAACTACTTAGATTTAAAGATTTAAAACCGTTCAACTTACAGCCTTTTCCTTATATATGGCACAAGTCCAGATTGCTTCAATATCATGTTGGAGCATGTGCCAACAGATTTCTTGATATCTTACACCATTTTTTCACCTTTTATGCCTCCCTTAGCAATATGTTTCAAGGACAGGTTACCTGCTCTGCTCTAACTGATGCTGCTGTGAATTGCTCAGGTGGGAGCCACATCAAAAGGGCATCCAAGGTTCTTAGAAGTGGCCTCTGCTCTCAGCACACTCAGGCACTGGGCTCTGGGCCCATGGCTTATCTTTCCTGGCCTTCTCTGTATTGTCAGATGAGCCAGGGAGGTAGGTGGGTACTTCTTGGAGTCCTATTGTTTAGATACCATGCCCATGCAGCTGTGAGGAGTGGCGATGTTTCCAGATTTCTAGTGGAAGGTGGATCTTGGTAGGACACATTTAGTGTGTTGTGGCCAAACACAAATGCTGATACCTGGGATAGATGCTAGCAGAACACAACAATGGGGGAGACCTGGCCCACCACTCCTGAGGTCAAGCTCTGAATTGGGAGAGAAATGACTGGGGTGACTCACTCAGAAGAGTAGGATCAGTGCCTAGTGCAAGATTGGGAAGAAGAGTTAGAGGGATGCTTGGAAGGAGGATTGAGGCTCTTGGAATTAGTTATATCTGGGGGTGCTGGCAGCTGTGTGAGTATTGCATCATAGGGAAAGGCAATTGCTTGGCTGGGAGGAGGTGGTAAGAGAGTGACTTCTGCAGAGTGTGGTATGAAAGGGGGTGGTGACTAATTGTAAAGGGTCTGCAGTGCCATCCCCAAAGTCAAGACTTTGGAGTTGGTTTGAGGGAACTGCTGATTGCATGGCAGGCTTCTCTAGGGCATTAGGAGGAATGAGATGTTCTGTGTGGGTCCTTTTGGGAAGTCGCAGCCTACAGAACCACCCTCAGAGGTGCCTCCTGGATGCCTGGATGTTGCCCAGTGAGTTGGCTCTGGAGTTGAGATATTCAGATCAAGCAAGGATTATCCCTAGATGGCCTGATCCTGATCAAGCCACTAACCACCTTTCTGCACAGGACACTTGCTTTCCTGGCTAGCCTCTCCCTTACCCTGAGCTTGTGGGAGTGATGGTACTTCCGCTTTCTGGGCTTTCATGAGTCAACTTTTAGCTTAGGGGCTCCTGGGCAGAGCCTGTCCGAGCTGTACTTCCCTCCAGAGCCTGGCAACTGTTGGCATCTGGGGATCTGTGGGGTCTTCCTTCTGGTTGGCCTGTGCAGGGGAGTTATTGGCAGCCTCTACCCACTACGTACCAATAAGGCCTCCCCTGTGGTCAGCTGGACATGAGCTCGGTTGGAAGTTTACCTCACCCAGGTTGTCAGGGGCTTGGAGCTGTATCCATAAATGGCCTTCGCGCTCCTCTCCTGAGCTTGGAGGGTGTGAGTGAGAGGAGACAGCGAGTCTGGGATGTCTGGCCTTGTTTCACTGCCCCAAAGTGCCAAGCACTTCCTCTCCAGCAGGCCAGTGGCACCGAGGTGGCAGGCCGCCCCAGGAACATCTTTTTTTCCCAATTTGGCTGAGAAACAAGTGCAAATGTCCTGTGGTGCAGGAATGGTTACATATATCATGCCAGGGCCATGTGGTGGACTGTACTGCAGCCATTGAAAATGTTTTCAAAGATTTTTATGATGGGCAATGCTCACTTTCAGTGTTAAATGGGCAGAGCTAAATCTGGGGGAGAGGGGCTCTCTGGGCTTAATTAGGACTGGTTGGGCAGTGAAGCTAGAACAGCAGGTGTAGGGACTGGGACTTGGAAACAGGGAGGGAGGGGTTGGGCTGCTTGTGGCATCCCAGTTTCAAGCATCCTCTGAGGTTTACTCCTGGCCTCAGAGAGAAATCTCTGCTGCTTTTTGTTAGTTACAATGAATTTGGGGAGCTTCAAGAGTGTAGTTTGAGAGTAAAAGAACATTTGGGGCAATATCTGCATCTTACTGAACTGATTCTATGCCAGCAAGAGGGACTTGACCGATGTAATGTGTTTTTAAACACAGTAAAATGATCTTGTCTCATTTTCTGCGATTGTAGTGAAGATGGAAGGAAAACTGCTCATTCACAGCACTCAAGATGTTATCACCTCCTTCATTTGGAGGGAAGGTGAGAATGATCAGAGGGGGTGCTTAGATATTTGCATTGCTACGCGTTCAGATCTGGGGTAATTAATTTTGATATTTGCGTGAGAGCAGATACACTGTTTGTGGGAGTGCCGTCCCTGCGGTGGGGCTGATGAGTGAAATCTAACACCATCTGCAAATAGATTCCTGAGGTGAGCAGCGATGCCAGCTCCTGTGCAGTGTGATCAGAGGTTTTGCTCTCCCAGCAGCTGCTAGTGGGAACTGAGAGATGAGGAAGGAGGGGGAGGGGTGTTGCCCTTTTTTCCTATCCTTTAGTCCTTTGGGAGCATGTTTAGTTCTTCATTCAAAAAATCAGTCACTTGAATGCCCTCCTGCCCCCCATTGACATTTCTTCCAAGGTTTTTCTTTCGGCCCTTGAGTACTAGTACTAGCCCTGCTGCCTGTGAAAGGGAAGGGCATGCATCAGTGT